TTGTATTTCTTAACATGGAAATGAGCTGGAATAAGTATGTTGCTTTTTTCATCATGTTTTTCATCATGAAAAACAGTGTGGCCAGCAGGACTAGGGAAGTGATCATCCCTTTGTACTCCATGCTGGTGAGGCCGCGCTTTGAATCCTGTGTCCAGTTTTGGGCCCCTCACTACAAGAAGGACATTGAGCTGCTGGAGCGTGTCCAGAGAAGAGTGACAAAGCTGGTGAAGGGCCTGGAGAACAAGTCTTACGAGGAGCGGCTGAGGGAGCTGGGGTTGTTTAGTCTGGAGAAGAGGAGGCTGAGGGGAGACCTGATCGCCCTCTACAACTGCCTGAAAGGAGCGAGGTGGGGGTTGGGCTCTTCTCCCCCCAGTAACTAGCGAAAGGACAAGAGGAAACGGCCTCAAGTTGCGCCAGGGGAGGTTCAGGCTGGACATTAGAAAGAACTTCTTCACTGTTAGAGTCGTTAAACATTGGGACAGGCTCCCCAGGGAGGTGGTGGAGTCACCATTCCTGGAGGTGTTCAAAAAACGTTTAGATGTGGCGCTTCGAGACATGGTTTAGTGGGTTTAGCGGGCATGGTGGCATTGGGTATACGGTTGGACTTGATGATCTTTGAGGTCTCTTCCAACCATAATGATTCTATGATTCTATGTTTAAAGTCTCATCATGTCTAATAAAGATTCAATTCTATAGACATGTTTTCAACCAATAGTTAAAATCTGATGTGCTGTACTATTTAAGATGTCCCTGTTGTGTTTCTGTGTAAATTCCTCACATTTGGTCAAGTATAAGACTATATAAAAACCTCAGTACTCAATCTCGGAGAGATTTGAGTCATGCAGATGCTTTAGCAGAAGATACCATTTGTACTCATCAAAGTCTACCTCAGAACTCAGATATTCTGCAGGACTTTGCCTTTCAGTGCTACTGATGGTTGTAATTGCCCCTCTTAGTGAAAAGATGGTGATTGAATCTGTCAGAATTACCTGCCTGCTATACTGGTTAGGGCAAAGATCCCATAGAAATCACATGTGTAATTACAGTTGCCATAAATGAAAAGATCAGTTAAAGGAATATGGATATATTCAACAATTTGCTGATGTTTGAATACTTTATAGAGGAAGTTGGAATTGTTTTTACCGGAAGAGGGGCCACAAAAGAATGCCCTAACTTAGTTTTATACAGACAATCTCAATTTTTGGAAAAAGAATTTCTGTTAAGGAAGATTGAAGCAATAGCATTTCTACACTGAGGAAGCACAAGTGATTAAGATATCTCCAGAGCAATATATTGAAAGTGAAATAATTTTTAAAATTTGGATCCAAATATGTTTTATTTTTTGATAATTTTTATTTTTAGATATAAAGTTTGTATTTTTTTGATAATTTTCTTTTTCCTTTCCAGAGTGAGATTTGCTTTCCAAATCCATTTTCTTTTTTACTGTCAGCTATTTTCTGATAAAGCTTTGTGCTTGATTTTTACAACCCCATTGACTTTTTGATTTGATGAGCTTTTACTCGTAATACGTTCATACAAATGTTGTGCTGAAGATTTGTCAGGAGCATGGTTTTAAGTTCGTAATGTTCCAGTACACTTACCTGAACTGTGCCAGTTCGATATAGTTGATTTTCTTACGTTTTGGTTGCAAGTAGTGATCTTTTTTAAACCACAAGTGAAATGGGTGTGCGTACAAATCCAGACAGAAGGCCAAATTTAGACTAAAACCTACATTTCTGTAAAGATTATAAAATGTCAGATATGCCACATACTTTGAGAAAAGGAAGCTGCTGTTATATCTGCCTGATGCGGACTGTACACTTGCTACATAGCCCATATTTTACATTCTTTTTGATTAATTTTCCAGTCTATTTCAGTTATCTGCCTTCTGCTTTTCTATTCATTTCCATATAAAACATCATTATTCTTTGTATAGCATGAGGCTTAGTCTCCTCTTGGATTTAATTTGCCTGGAATGATAATGGAGAAAATTGGGCATTTTCTCTCAATAACATGACCCACGTGTCTTGATTTGCTCTGAGATGATGAAAACAGAGCAGAGCTTCCTGAATGGATGTAGATCAGGACAAAATTCATCTGAACTACCCTCTCGTGACACTGATGACAAACTCTGCCAAGGTTCTATAAGAAGAGAACAGGATAAAATTTGTGAAAGTACATCCTACTCCTGTGTCTGTCTTTCCCTGTGTTTTGATTTCTTCTGGCAATTAAAAAGGTAAAACTCAATGGGTTCGGATTTTTTTTAAAGAAACTTAAAATGCAGACACAGTTTTTGAAAGCCTGCTTAACTTCTTTGAAGCTCTGATTACTTCTTTTAGAATTGCTTTCTTGTTTTTTCTGAATAGAATCATAGAATGATTGGGGTTGGAAGGGACCTTTAAAGGTCACCTTGATCTTTAAAGATCATCATCCCTGCCCCGCCATGGGCAGGGACATCTTTTGCTAGACCAGGTTGCTCAAAGCCATGTCCAACCTAACCTTGAACACTTCCAATGATAGGACATCCAACTTCTCTGGGCAACCTGTTCCACTGTCATTTTCATTTGCCTTTAAATCCTGTACAGTTTACTCTGTTTAAAAAGGAAAAACTATGTTTTTCACTGAGTTTCATCTGGGCTAGGTCATGAAATTTGTGGTGGAAGTGGTTATTTAGTTATGTTTCTGTGAAGACCCCATGGAAAATTGAAGTAATCCCTTGCTGATAAATGAAAATAATGACTGAATGTGACACAAAGAGAAATTGCTGCAACTACAAGTTGTTTGCTAAAATCAGTTATATAACAAAGCTTCTCTTTTTGATTACTGTGTGTTGTCATTTTTTCTGAATGTAAAACTCTTGGAAGTGACCAACTGCCAGCACTAACTAGAACCAGTCCTAGTATAAGTGTATACTAAGCGAGGACCCGACATACTACGTACTCTTTGGTAACCATACTGTACCAGCTTCTAGAACTTTTATAAGAAAGTATGATTGCAATGTGGAAATAATCAGAATCTAGTAGTTTTAAGCGTAATTTTGTGACTTGAATAAACATAAGAGCAGCTTTACTGATTCAGACCAAGGGCCCATCTAGCTGAGTGTTGTAAACGGACACCTAAGGAAGAGTAAGGACTGAGCATGCATATATGCATGTATGGTAATTACCCCTGATACTCTCCCAGCCTCCAGCTATTTTCAGCTCAAGGGGTTTCCTGAGCTGCTTGTGATCTTCTGTTTCACATCCTTTAGTGGATCTTCCTTCCACAACTTCTTCTTCCCTTGAACCCTTTTACATTTCTCGCATTCACGACATCCTTTGGGAAGGTTTTGGGTTGTGTTTGGGTTTTGTTTTGGGGCTGCCTTTATGTTTTGTTTTGTTTTCTCTTTTTTTTTTTTTTTTTTTTTTGCAAGTCTTGCTGTCCATTACCTTAATAAAACCAGAGATTGATTCAGTGATTGCACACACTTATTAGTAATTCAGCCCTTTCATCCTTGACTTCACACAAAACTCTTAAGTGAATACCATCTGGTCCTGGTATTTGTTTCTGTTCATTCTGTCTAGCTGTATTCTAGCCTGTGTCTATAGTTGTTTCAGAAAATAATTCATAATACAGTAATACAATAGCAGGTTTTGCCCATTTTTTTATTTTGTCCCTTTTTTTTATTGACATGGTTCTTGAGAGCTTGATAATATAGCAGTTTCCTCTTTTACTTTTTTTTTTTTTTGGCAATGATTTAGATTGTGCTGTGGAGGAATAATTTAATTTTTTTAGATACAGTGATGGAATAGTGTTATGAAAATATTAGAAGACTGTAGCAAGATCATTGTTCAGGTACTTAAAAAAATCACTGGAGAGTTGCATGCAGTAAAATAAATGCAAGAAATGTGAAACGTGAGAGTATCCTGGAAAACTGAAGCAGGTCACATTCTGCTTGCACATTAAAATGAAGCTGGAAATTGAAGATGCACTAATTATTTGTCAGTTAGATATCTTTTAATTAATTTTACCCACAGTACAAGTATCCGTCTCATGTTTGACTTCTAAGTGGTACACCGATAAATACACAAAGTTGTCATACTTGTTTTCTTTTCACTGGTGCTCAGTGAAAATTGCTTTCTTCAAAGAGGATACTTCCGTGATGCTAAACTTGCATTTCACTAGACGAAAGCATACATTCTCAATTTCTTTTTCTACTAAATCTAGAATTGTAGAAGATGGTCCTAATTAGGATGCTGTTCATCCTTCATTTTTCTATGTTTCACAAGGAAAGTCCAGTCGCTTCCAAGTAGTTCTGGTAATGTTTGCTTAGAGCTAGATTAGTTTACACTTTTTAGAAATAGATTTAGCATCTTCAAACAGAACCGGGGCTTCCCTAACATGCCTCTCCAGTCACCACCAGTACTGCTTCTCCCCCCGTCCTGTCCCCTCACAACTGCCAACTGATCTTTCTTCCTTTCATCAACTATAAACTTTGCTGTTTGCGTCAACTGAAACTAAAATAAAATTACCAATGATCTCATCCGGAAGATCTGCTTACAGTCTGACAGGATACTTAGCATGTTACTGGATGAGTGTGCAAAGAATTTCAATTTAAATATGCTAGCAATATTAAGTAACTTGTACATACTATGTAGCATTTAGGTAGTACCTGTATTGGATTTGTAGTTTGAATGTGTTGATGAAGATTTAAATTTCTCAGAAGCCTTTCCAACAAGTGAAAAATAAGCCAACTTTTTGCTGGTAAACTTTGGAACAACTTAATATAAAATATGTTGAGATCTTTTAAATCAGAAAGGCTTGGTTTATGAGAAAAATGTTTTCTTGGTTTATGAAAACAATTGTTATTGTACAAAATTCAAAAATATTGAGAAATTGTGGGTGTGGTACTATCCCTTGTTTGGAAGAGAAGATGAAAGTCTACTAAAGTACTAAAAGCAAAGAGTAAGCAAGTTGAACTGACTTTTGTACACTTTGTGTTTGTTTGGATTTTTTTATAGGTGAAATGAGGAATGATTTATATATCACTGTAGAAAGAGGAGAATTTGAGAAAGGAGGGAAAAGTGTGGCCAGAAATGTGGAAGTGACAATGCATGTCGTGGACAGCAGTGGTCAAATTTTAAAGGTATCTTTCTTGTATGGTTTTCCTTGCTGTAGTTAATTTTGATGCACTTTTTCAGATCTAAATTAGCTTTTGTGACATTGTTTGAAGAGTACAAAATTGCTTTGGAAAAGTCACATTTATCTTTTGCTGTCTTTCGATATTCAGAGTATTTCCATTTTGCTTAAAACCTTTATAAAACACATGTTTGTTTTATTTTTGTGATGAATTACGATTCAGATAAACACCTATAAATGCCAACCAAATAACTAATGATTCCATTAAGATGCTGGACAATGTTGAAGCCAGGTCAAATTTTGGAGAATTTTTTGTTTCATAATAATTCTTCTTCGTAGGTATGCATTTCGTCATGTTACACAGAACATGTTTTGATCATTTTCAATTTTTTATCTGATTTTAATAAATCAGAGATCCTTGATGCAAAAATCACCACCGGGTATCAATAAAAGAATAAATTAATGTTCTTTATTTTCTTCAGATTTGATTGCATGCTACTGGTGATAGCTTATAAACAGGCACTGTTTTATATTTTAATTATTAATAGCTGACTGTTTCTCAGATTTTTTCTCTGTACCAAAAGATTTCTGTTCACCTTCAACCTTTTCCATACATATTTAGCATTGGGGTGTTTTTTTCCTTTTATTTGAAAGTACGTTTTTCACATGTTCTGTAGGATTTTGAGGGCTGTGGAGTGACAAAATGAACAAATCTTGAGATATCTTGAGATATAAGGTAATCCCTTATAATTACTGAGGAGAAAATCTACAGCTTACCTTTCCCACAGAGAATTAATAGGTATCCCCAAGTCAGGACTTAGACAAATCCATTTGCCACCTTTGCTATGGAGAGACCATCGTGGGTGTTGCAAAGGCAGCCAACACTTTGCTTCCTCCTAATCAGGGAATCCAGATTTCTTTATGTTTTCATGCTGGGACATCTCCCTGATAACCGCGGGGCTACAGCCTTATTTCAGAGCCCTAAAGATCTTGAGCCTGGGCTGTTCCTGTCTCAGTTACATTCTTGGCTCTTGCTTGAGCATAACACTGGGTAGACCACGTTGTAGCATGGGTCTCCACATCACATCGGTTGCTTAAGCCTTCCTGACCACCCAGTTCCCCCTGTATAACACTTTGGTTCTCGTCAGTGTGGAGGATTCTTGCCGTTTCTTTCTAATACTAACAAAGTGCTACTACTTCTGTGGATTTTGAGACATTGAGCATTGTACCACGTGGCATTTATGATATGAATGTAAATATTAAATGGTCTTTCTTGGAAGAGCAGACCTTGATGACATCTTACCAGTGAACTATCTGTCTTTAAATCTTTAATCATGTTTTTTTTCTTCATTAGGATTTTATCTCATTCGGCTCTGGAGAGCCACCAGCCAGCGAGTACCATTCCTTTGTGCTTTATCATAACAATGGTCCCAGATGGGCTGAGCTGCTGAAACTTCCTATCCCTGTGGATAAATTCAGAGGAGCACATATCCGCTGTGAATTCCGGCACTGTTCCAGTAAGTGCTGTTCAGGACTTCTGCTCGTCCTCTCCGTTACAGCTGCAGTCAGCACCTGAGTTTCCATAATGCCTCAGGAAAAAGACAGCTATGTGAACTTTCTCCGTGACGCTTTCATGACATAGCTTCTCAGGCTTGAACCTCTGTTTGGTGGAACTCAGTGCTTTGGTAAAGCCTAAATACCAGGAGAAACCAGTCTAGTTTAATTAAACAGAATTAGGCAACATTGCAGCTGTAAATATAAGCAGAATTTCAGGTAAACTGAAAGTACAAGTTTAGAATTTACCTGGTGAATTATCAAAAATTATACCTATTCCTGAGTGCATGTTTAGCAATCCAACCAATGGGAAATGTATGTAAACACATCATGGACAATTAACATCACTGTTGTATTGCCTGTGGTTTTTTTTTTTACTTATAAAATTCCAAAATTTTCTAAACATTCCAAACTTTTAGAGATGATTTTGAGGTAAAAATTGAGGTCTAGGTCCATGTTCTGCCTACCAACGTATGTGAGATAGGTTTCATAGCTATGGTGCTGACTGTTGTCAAGCTTGTAGAGAAAGGTGGATAAAATTGTACATCTTTTAAACTGCTGCTGTTGTTTGGTTCTTTTTGGTGACGTAGGCATAGCAAGATCTGATTATTTAGATTGTCTTTGCGGAAAGTGACACACACAATAGTGATGGTATATTTAGATTTTGGGTACATAAGCTTCAAAATGTAAGAAACAGGTAATATAGGAAGACATTTGCATTGATTCGTTTTAAAGATTTCTTTTATAAGCTATGAGGTAATAAAGGAAGAATGTCAGTGGTGTGTTTCAAAAAGATGATACATTTCTGCACAATCTTTGCCATGCAGTACAAGTTGGATATTTTTGTTATGATTGCCTATACCACCCCAACTGTGCTGAACCTGGACTCGAAAGTCATATATATACATATTTGATGAAAAATTGGTTGATTTTCAAAAGTGTTCAGCATCTGCACCCATTGGCTTCAGTAAAATTTGCACCATCTCAGTGTTTTGTAGTCTGCTTTATGTTTAGGTGATAGATGAGCTTTGGAATTTGAGCTTAGACACTAAAGTTTGAAAGTGTTATCTGCTGTCTAACATTCATGTAAGGAACAGTGACGTCTTCGGTCATATCGATAGAGGCAGGTGCCTTATTTGAAAATAGAAGTGCAGTGTAGCCTGAGGTTGACCTTAAATGGAGACGAGTAAGTAGAAGCTACTACAGGGAATAATTGTCACTGAAAAAAATTCTTTTCTGTTCACGTTGGACTGGCCAGGTCACATTCATTTGGGTTTCCTGGCATTCTGTATATTGCTAAGACTGCATATTTGGTGGCTTCTGTTATTTGTTGTTGGTAAATACCAAAGCATTCCAGAATAACGCTTTCTGATTTACAGTGGGATAAAAGGAACCATTATGGGAGATAATGTGCAAATCTGAAAAGAAATTTCAGATAATCTTAGTCTGACTAGCTGCAAATAGCTTCCGGTATACTTTCTTATGTTGTATTATATCCATTTATTTTGTCTAAAATGTATAATATTAACTTGAAGTGCTGCTATTTACATCTGCTTTTCAGCAAAAGAAAAGGGTGAGAAGAAGTTGTTTGGCTTTTCTTTCGTGCCCCTGATGCAGGAAAATGGAAGGACTCTGCCAGATGGCACCCATGAACTCATTGTACACAAGGTAATTTGAATTAGTAATCGTTAGCTGTAATGATTCCTCTGCAACATACTTTAAATGCCCCGAAACGTTAGGTTGAGAAAGTCTGTATTCATTACCAAATGAGTGATAATCTTGTCATCATTAAAATATCCATTGCTGATTGTTTAATATTGAGCTTCCTCTTACAAACTGCAGTTGAATCTAGGTATGCGTTTCAGGGCACTGATTTTACTAAGTCTTACTATTTTATTACATTGTATTTATAATGGATTTCACAAAGGTAAATTCAATTAAAACACAGAAAATGAACCCCATGATACCCTCTTACTGAATTGCTGAAGTTGGAAAATCATGCAAGCTCATTTATGCAGATCTACTCAACGTTATCATTTTTGGAGATACTTCGGTTTTGCAAAACTTTTGTTTCCACATTTAACAGTTATTTCTTTGTTCAGAGGATTTGATATGCTTCCAGGTAAATTTTAGATTTTAACACCAAATTTTGTAGCTCTTCATTTGACATAACCTGTGCAAATTTGTTAGACTTCGGTGTCAGATATGAAGCTGTCATGCAAAACCAAAGTTGCAACAGGCATAGTTAAAATTCTTCAAGATCTGGCAGAGAAACAGTAATAATTCATATATTTTAGGGATTTGGTCCTTTGTTTTTATGCAGTACAGTTATTTTAACTGGTTTGTTTTCACAGTGTGAAGAAAACACAAACCTTCAGGATTCTGGTCGCTACCTCAAACTCCCCTTCTCAAAGGGAATTTTCCTTGGAAACAACAGCCAAGCAGTAAAAACCACTAAAGAGTCCTTCTGGATTACGTCCTTTCTCTGCTCCACTAAACTCACACAAAATGGTAGGATATGTTGATTATTTAAAACTTGATGAATTCAAATGAATGTGATAGCTAGCCTTTTCCGTGCCAAGCAAGCACAGATGTACTCAAAAATAACTTATGTTCTATCCATTTTACAAACTGGGTTTCTTCATAATTTTTTATATCCAGATGGAAACCAATGCAGCATGATAAACCACTGATTTTCAGTGGTTCAAGAATGCTTTTTAGATTAACATGATACTGGAATCAAATGCAGCACTCTTGGAATCAACTATCAAAACCCAGCTGCTTTATGAAACCTCTTAAACTGTTTGTTGTAGAGGTTTTATGAAATACTTTTTGTAGGCTTTAGGCTGTGGCAGTTTGGTTTTAATTAGGCACATACTGCTTTTTTGTTGTATCGCTTCTCTTCCTTTAAGCCAACAAACATTTACTACTACTTAAGGCAATCTTACACACTGGATACGAGGAGCAGCAGACAGAAATACGTGTGTTTGCGCTCTTTACCATTGCTCTGTATAAAATTCTGAAGATTCTTGTTTATTTGCCATATTAACTACAGTTTGTAACTGAGTTTTCCACAAATTTCTACATATTGTGTATTTGCTTGGTAACGTGTTTCTGACCATTCTTTGATATACCCACATTTTATATTATTTTTTCTAAGCTGTTTATCACAGTTTTAAGATCTTGCTTAGTGTGCTCTTGTGTGTGAATGACTGTCTTTAGCCTCCTTATATGTATGATGATAAAGTTGCTAATTGCTTGCAAATTGATTATAGGTGTTTAATAGGTGTTCAACTAGAGCAGCTTTTTAAATTGAAATAATCGTCTTAATTTTCACCATTCAGTAGCAAGTGTCCAAAATAGAACTATGTGCAAATAGTAAGTGCTCTGTTTCGCTGTGCACATCCATTCTACATTCTTACAGCAATTAGCTACAAGGTAATAAAAGTTAACCAATAAAAGATTTTCCCAAAGGTTACTAATAGGCAATCAGAGACTAAATTTGCTTCAGTTAAAGGCCTTGATTTAGGAAATCGCATGAATCTACTGGTACTTACACATGCATGAAAGTGCTGCCTGGAACTGAAGTGTCTCACTGATAAATAGTGGAGGTGTTGTCTGGGGTTATAATACTAAGTTCTGTTCACAGTACAGGAGTTATTTTGTACTTAATGTAAATAGATGTGTGACACAGGGCATAAAATTTCCTTTTTTTTTTTTTTAAACCATATTCTGAGTAAGAGGGTGGAGAATATCTGAATAATATTGATCCCCTTTTCAGCTCTGAAAGAGTTAACAATTATTTCAGCAGTACTTCAGAGGGTGGAAATATTTTCAATAGACAGGCTCATATTTTCTCCAAGGATCTTCTTTGGGAAGTTCATCTTGGTGAGTTTCCAAATCCCCATTCTTTTCAACAAAAATTTGCCAAAACCTCTTGCATGCTCAGAAAATGAACATAGAGCAAAGCATGTGGATATTTGGTCATGTGAGCATTACTTCAGTTATCCCTGAGAGAATGTAGCATATTCATTAAAAAATACAGGATTAAAAAGATCTGTGTATTTACTTTTTCAGTAGACATTTGTATTGCTATTTTTGAAAACTGCTGATTATTTTTTAATCTGGCTTTAAGTTTGGAGATATTTTCTGAAGTTCTCTGAGATCTGCCTGTTTCTGCAAACAACAATGTCCAGCTTGGAAAGGAATTGATAAATTATGCTGTTGGCCTGGCCGTGGGGTGGCCCAGACTTGGGAAGGGTGTGACTGAATCAGGCCACAGCTTTCCTAACTCACTAGGAAATTTTGCTCAGCTGTCATTCTCTCATTGATTGTTCCCACATGCCATCAGCTCTCATGCATATTAAAAGTATGGGGACTGGGGGAAGGAGGCTGACTCCCAGTTCTTGGGATCCATAAATTCCTTACCCTGGGTACTTTGGAGGGGTTTTTAGGATTATTTCCAAGTACTTTTCAAGAGGCCTTCTAACCAGGGGAGTCTGTGCGTTCATCAACATATCTCATAAGAACGCATCTTTATCCAATCCGTCAACCGGTTAGCTTTTCCTTAGCTTGACTTTTGGTCCTGGATAGTTAATCAGTCAATGTTAGCAAAAAAGTATATTAGCTTTTATATATTACATTCTTAGCTGGATAGTTATATTTCATTATCCTAAAAAAAACCCAAAGCATGAGAGAGAATATAGTATTTTTTTACTGACTAGTTGTCAATACAGTCTTACTTAGTTTTTTGACATATAGGAGGGATCTCTGCCTGCCGGAGACTCAGGATCCGTACAGCAAGTGAGAATATTTTAGCAAGTTGGCATCCACTCCTTTCTCAGTGCTGATGGGCACATCCCCAGTAAGCAGCTGTTCATCAGCAGAGCAACAGGCCGTACAGCATGTCTCTTGCAAGGCATCTCTCTGCATTCAAAAAAAGCTCGACTGGGGATGAATAAAACAAAAGTAACGGGACAGCTTTCCAGAGAGACCCCAGTTTGGAGGGAGTGTTGGAAACCACAAAGCAGCCTGTTGGAAGAGGAATGCAGACTGCCCGTTCTGCCATTTGGCTTTTCCCTTTTGAAGTGCAGTAGTGCTACGCCAGGTCTCAGGATTTATACAAGACAGACGGAAAGATCATCCAAGCCCACTTCCTTATATACATGATTCTAAACCTTTCATTAAACCTAACACTTTGGATTTAAATTACGAACTTTGAGAATGAAAGTGTTTTGTTTGGTAGGAGTGGTAGGTCAGGTGTAGCCTATTTTAAACATACAAATCTGATCGTGATTAAGAGAAGGCATTGGAAATGTTTTTCTTCTTCAGCAAAATTGACTTTTTCCCTTTTCCAAAGCTATGTTTTCCTAGTGGGCCTATTTTTGGGGACAATTTTATATTCTCATTTCTCTTAATACATGACACATTGCTGTCCCTTCCCGTTGTGATTCACATGTCAGATTTTCTATTCGTGTCATTTCTGCTTGGGCTATTCGCTAATGTTATCTCAGCAATGTCTTTCCTCCTTAGCATTTCCCTTGAAATAAGTACTTTGAAGTGAGCGTCTTATATTTGCTTTCTCTTTTTAATCCCCCAACAAATCCCTAATATTGAGTGTCAACTACCTTCCACCAAGTTCCTCCAGCAAACCTGTAAAGAAGTGTTTTTCCTGCTACGAACTGACAGCTTCAAGCTGGTCTCACTGCTCCTCAACTTCAGTTGAGACTTAAACAGCATAAAGTGTAGAAGTCCATTTAATTACCCCAAAATGCAGTTAGTTGGATTTGTAATGGTTGTTTCTTGAGAATTCCTGACAGAAGGAATAGTAAGACCTATCATTTGTCCTTGATCTATGGGATGTGTCTCTGATGCACGTGTGGGACCCTTCGGAACTCGTAGTGCAACTCAAGGATCTCTTTTAATCTGAACCATTCCATACTAGCGCAGCGTGAAACAAAACAAAAAAGAAATGTATAAATGCGTTAAAACAATTTGTGCCCATCAAAATCAATTAAGGCAGCAAAATATTAGTGAAATAGCATGGAGGGTGTTTGCCATTAACGCCTCTAGCAAGATTTGAATATAGGTGGAGATTTATTTAATGTTATTAAAGACAAAAATATTATTTCATTTCTTGTTGTGGGGGAGAGGAGCTGTCCTGGAGCAAACAGGCTCGACATTAGAAAGAACTTCTTCACCGTTAAGAGTCGTTAGGCATTGGAACAGGCTCCCCAGGGAGGTGGTGGAGTCATCGGCCCTGGAGGTATTCAAAAAACGTTTAGATGTGGTACTTCAAGACATGGTTTAGTGGACATGGTGGCATCAGGTGTACGGTTGGACTTGATGATCTTTGAGGTCTCTTCCAACCATAATGATTCTGTGATTCTATGAAACTGGGAAAGAAATGACACAAAGGTGGATATGGCTCAAACATTACTTGAGTGTGAAAACAATCTGTCGTAGAAAGCACCCAAGTAGTTGCTGAACCAAGAGGAAAACTTGCTATTAGCTTCTTAGTTCGATAAGTATGAGAACATTTCAGAAGAACCGGATCCTTCTAAGACAATGCTGGACAGTAATCAACTAGAGAGCAGTTCAGCTTAAACTGATGAAAGGGTTGGACGGTGGTTAAGGTTTTCTGCTTCAAGCAGCCAGGCTTTGAGAAATTCTGAAAAGCTGGTTAGTGAAACATGGGAGTAGTAAACTTGAATGTAAAGGAGCTTTGGGATTTATTTAATTCAACAGTTCAAAAATATGTGGAACTTTTACTGAATACAACTTGAAAGGAGTGCTGCAGACCTGAGCGAATGAGGCACAGGCAGAAAATGTGAGCACAAAACCTGCAACAGAAGGGAGAAAAATAATGGTGATGTGCCGGAGTTCAGCAAGGGTCAGAATCAAGTGAAAACTGCTGAAAAGCCAAGCCAAGTTCACAAAAGTCTATTTTAGGATGGTGAATGGTATGGAACGTGAAATTCCCAATCTCATAGCAAGGTTGGGGTTTTTTAGTACATCTCTGAAGCTGAAAGCAATAGCATATGACCAAAGAGTAGTGAATATAGTACTTACATTTAAGACAGGTGGAAGAGCAGATATGTTAACTGGGCCGTCACCCTCCGAAAAATTTTATGCAAGTATTTACAAGAAATTATGGATTAAAAAAATGGACATGTAGCTAAATGGAATGTGCTGTAAGATGAGTTTATCGAAGGCATAGCATGCCAGAATAAACTTCTTCAACTTCCTTTTCGAAGTTTTTCTTTTATTATTCTTCTTCAGAGGAAATGTAGCAGATCTAAACCATCTGGACTTCAGTAACACACCACATGGGAAGTTAGAAAAGATCCAGATTAGAATAAGAATTTTAAAACTGGTAAATAAAGGCTAAAAGGAAGCTAGCATGTTGCACGGTAGTAGAAGGAATTTCCTTCCTGTGTGGAAGGAAATACTACTAGATCTGAAGAATTAGGCCTGGGATTGATCACTGTAAGAGTCGTTAAGCATTGGAACAGGCTCCCCAGGGAGGTTGGTGGACTCACCGGCCCTGGAGATGTTAAAAAAAATGTTTAGATGTGGCGCTTCGAGACATGGTTTAGTGGGTTTAGGGGGCATGGTGGCGTTGGGGAGGAGGTTGGACTTGATGTTCTTTGAGGTCTCTTCCAATCATAACGATTCTATGATTTTTTTTAAAGGGGTGGAAGAGGGTGGGGATGGGAGTTCCTTCGCTAGAACCTGGGACACTAGAGAGCCTCCTCTTAATGACATTTGCTGCTAATACGTAGTTGAAGGGGCTCATCCGTTGAGAGGAACAAAATCAAAATATGAGGTAGGCAAAGCAAGGTAACTTTGATTTAAAGAATGAATAAGAAAGAGTAGAAATTAGATCAAATCTAATGCACGGAAGGCAGGATCATACCCTAATGGTGATTCGTGGGGATCTGCTGTAGCCAGGGAGCTGAACAGTATAAAACCAGAGAAAGACCTATTTGTGTCACCAATATGGTGTATCTAAAAACCCTCCAAGTTCTAGAAGATATATGTCAGATGTTTCCAGCAGACATACGAGCTCGCTAATGATATAGAAAACAGTGATGTGATCTCATCTGTAATGTAATTACCATTTTGGTCAAGAAAGCTGAAGGAGAATGAATTAAAACTGGAGGAAGTGCAAAGACACTCAGGTATGTTTTAGCTCAGAAAAATTTATTTTCCAGAAGAGATTGTGTTGCTTATTAATAAAGCAGGATCTTAGAGGCATTGTGTTTGTTCTCTAAAAAGACATAGGAAGATGAATATTTGAAATATATTCAAACTAGTAATTAGGAGGCTATTTCTAGCTGTCAGAGGACGGCTCTGGAAGGCATCCTTCAATGGGACAAGAGGCAGCAAAATAATTGCTTTTCTTAAGATAGTAGTTGACAAATATCTGAACAAGATTGCATGATACAGTTGCCGCAGGAGACTGATTTTAGTGACCCAATACCATGTTCTTATGTTTCTGTTGATGGAGCAATTATGGGATGGAATGAAAATTTGTTGTTGGCCAGATCATATTATAGCAAATCTTGAGATGTTTTCTTTTGTTTTAATGATGCCAAGTTTTGCTGAGTGGACTGTAATAGCAGAATTTAAAATCTGAAATGCTGCTTTTCTTCCAACTTTAATCTTGTGTTTTGTTTTTGCAGGAGACATGCTTGACCTTCTGAAATGGAGAACCCACCCAGACAAAATTGCAGGTTGCCTCTCAAAATTAAAAGAAATTGATGGTTCAGAAATAGTGAAGGTATATTCATTTCTATCCTTTTAGATAATATGAGGGAAATAAGTTATTTGCATGTCACACAAATACTTATTTAATAGCAAACTATCTCTTATTCTCTCCAATCAGTTTCTTCAAGATACACTAGACACTTTATTTGGGATTTTAGATGAAAACTCTCAAAAATATGGATCAAAAGTATTTGATTGTTTGGTAAGTTTCATTTTGTAATGATGCTTAACACTATTTAAGAACTAAGTAAAAAAAAAAAGCTTTTTCTTTTTTTTTTCTTTTTCCCTCACATTTAGGTTCACATAATAAATTTGCTGCAGGACAGCAAGTTTCACCACTTTAAGCCAGTAATGGACACTTACATTGAAAGTCATTTTGCAGGAGCACTTGCATACAGGTGAAGTCTGTACTTTTTCTATGTGATTTGGATGCTGACAGTTAGTGGTAAACTAAGCGGAATCAATCATTAGGTTAAATTAAGTGATATCATTGGAAATAAAATGCAGTGCTTGTATGAATGCCCAGATTTAGACCATTAAAAAAGTAAAATATGTTACCAGAAAGGTTACTTGCTAATAATCTAACACTGGGTTCATTTTTAAATCTTTTTCTTCAGTGAATTTCTTTATTTGAAAACCATAGGAGCCTTAACATCATCCAGCTGCAACAGCGTCCACTGTCCGTGTAGAGCAGTGCACTAATAAGTATCACTTACTCTGCTCTACTCTCTGTGTTTATTTACTACCTAGACTATGGTTAAAACGAATGCAGGCTGCAAACCAACGCATGGAATAGCAGGGTTAGTCCATGCTGGCAGGGACTCTTCTGGCTTAACTGAGCTGGCGTATCCCTGTCAAAATCGTTCTACTGCCTATGGAATGCTGGTGTTATTGCCTATTCCTCAGAGACCTACTAAGTGCCTTTCAGCAGCCTGAAAACTAAGTGTAATACTGTGCCTGTAGTGATTAGTGAAATATTGTCATATAATTTTTATTTTGGCAGTGTTTCTCATATGACAGCTATCGCTTTGCATTTTATGTGCAAACTTAACCCTTCTCCCACTTCTGTGTTTTACACTATTTTCTGATGTGCTATTCTAGAGATCTTATAAAAGTACTGAAGTGGCATATCGATCGAGTCACGGAGGTTGAGCTGCACGAGCACATACAGGAGGTACTAAAGGTAATAAAAATCATCGAAGGCAATTATGTATTTGAGTGACGTATTCATATTGTACCAACAGGTTTAACTCGGGAAATGAAGCAGAGTATGTATAAATGATGGAATGGTAGTACTAATTCTAGGGAGCTGCAGACTTTTTCAGTGCAGTCGGTTTATTCATCGTTATTCATCTCACTAAGTTGATCAATGGAGCTTACTACCACTAGACGCTGGACCTCTATGCTGCTTACTGAATGAGGGTATCCATGAGTAGCAGTTCGAGCTAAGAAATCAAATATAGACTGCATTGGTGGTATTAACATCTGTCGCATAACTGAATCTAAATGGCAGACAGGCATGGTTCAGTCCTGACACCGGGGAATTCTACTGAAAATGGTGGGTTTGGTTTCTCTTGTCACCCTGTTTTGTACCATCAGCAGAGCACAGCGTGGAGTCGGGCTGGGTTGTACAGCACAATAATCCCGTTTGGGAGAGGTGCTACAGTCTGGAAATAAAATATCGGCGTGGTACCCTTCTGTGCTTTTCTATGCAGCTGTTAACTTAGGTGTCTTGCTAATAAGAAAGAGCTGTATTTTATTTTATGTTCCAACAGTTTTACACCTTAATTTGAGCTTTTCTTTTTTTTTTTTTTTTTGTATTATCTGGTTAACATTTGATGGGAAAACAACTTTTAACAGGTAGAGAAGTTCCAAGAACAGCTCAAAAGTTCAAGCCTATTTGTTATATTGGCCTTGTAGATTTATGCAATCTGTGTTTCTGAGGCCAAAGACACGCAAGGGATATGGGGCAAGGGGAGCAGAGTTGAGATTTTGCTGTTTTCCATTTGTTAAAAAAGCAAGCGTTCCCTAGTTTGTAGAGATTATGAAAGGCAAGGGAAGAGCATTTCTGAGTATGTGCTTTTGAAATGTTGTTAGTGTTTCAATAGAAAGATTTGGCAAAATGAAATAACATGGTGTCCTGTTTCAGACCCTTGTCATTATTTGGATGATATAATCATTGTGTGTGCTCTATTTAAAGATAAACTGGTTCATTTTTATGAGTTATCTCTGATTTTGACATTTGTAGGCACAGGAATATATCTTTAAATATATAGTTCAGTCTCGAAGGTTATTCTCTATTGCCACTGGTGGACAAAATGAAGAGGAATTTCGCTGCTGTATTCAAGAGCTCCTTATGTCAGTACGCTTCTTCCTTTCCCAAGAGAGCAAAGGAGCTAGTGCTTTATCCCAACTACAGGTGAGTTTTCAAGAGTGCCTTTTACTTATTGCCACTTTCCACGTCCAATATAGAAAATGTGTGCATGGCCTTACCTATATTCCCGGGAAAGAAAACATGTTTTTGCTAGAGCAAAACAGCATTTTCAGCTCATCCTCATACCTTTTGTCCTGTAGTGTGAAATTTTCATACCAGCAGCTTCTAAATATATTTGGCATAGATAATCCTAAATCTAACATTTCATTTTGAATTATAATTATATTATAATTATAATAATTATATTGTTGGATACAAATAAAGTAATTTCTCTCTTTTGGGTGTTTTACAGCTTAGTTTGACCACATAGGCACTGAAGAATTTGAGCCATACCAAAGACTATCAGAGTTTTCATGCTTTACAGAAAACTTTTAAGTCTTGATGAACTGTGTGTTTCAATCCTCAGCTGGTATCTTTATTTCAATTGAGACTACTAAAATTGACTAGTGCTAAATCGCAGAGGCCAAACAGACAGGAGACAGCTCTCTGCATTAAGTGCCATAGATTTACCAACTTCTACGGCTCGTAGATATACCGTCCTCTTCCCCTATTTCTATAACCAAAGGAGTTTAAGACCTGTTAAGAATTATTAATTTCTTAACCTCCATAGAAAATTGTTCTTCCAAGAAAATGGCAAATCAGGGAGAACAGGGTAGAGAGGTGGTTCTTCCATCTTGTATCGCGTGAGCAGGCAGAGTGAAAAGATAATAGCAAAATGATATAAACAACCACGTTTGGAATTCTTCTTCAAGATCTTTAACCTTGTATGTCATCTGTTCTGACAGCAGGGTGAAGAAGGGCTGAGGTATGAGTAGCTTTTCTCAATCAGCAGGATTTGGAGAGGAAGAAGGGAATGTCAGTTCCAGCTTCCTTTCTCTGGCATTGCCCTCCTTTCTTTTCCAGTGTTTTGTTTCCATGTTCATTATATTCACCAATGAATTTCTAACCTTATTTTAGGATTGTTGAAGTGAACCAAGACTGCCAGTGCTGTCTCACTCCAAAATAAAAATGTTCTTTATTTGAAAAATGGAAGATATGGAGCCCACTATATCACTTATCTTAAAACAAAGCAAACCAAACCAACTCCACTGAAATCTTTTTGTTCTGGTATCAGCTAGCTTCTGTTATCCTTTTAAAAATTTCCTCTCACACACAGATTGTGAAGAATCTGTAAAGTATAAAAATTTTTGTTCAAAGTTGAACTTTTTACTTTCACTTTGACCGGGGAGAAATGAACAGTCATCAGATAATGCTTAAAGGAAAATAGTCACCAGGGTAAGCCCGTTAATCAACGTGAGGATATTTCTTCTGCAAATTTGACCATTTTTAAAGCTACTAACTACCCTTGAAATGTAAACCCAGACATTTTTCTACAGTTACTTAAATCTCTATAGTTATTTAAATTCTATAAATGTCAAAACTATACCGCAGTATCTGACTGTCCATTTTTGCCCTCTTCCTCTAGGCTGTGTTTCTCAGCTCATTCCCATCGGTGTACTCTGAACTTTTGAAGCTCTTTGATATCAGAGAAGTTGCGAATTTGGTTCACGACGAGCAGTTTGCCAACAGTCATGCATGGAGATGAGTCCCTTCAAGCTGTTAAACTGCAGAGTATTGGGAAAACTGTAGAGAGTCACCTGTACACGAACCCAGGTAAGGTTACCTTGGGCTGCCTGCAAATACAGAACAGGAATTGTGTGCTTGGTACACGGGCCAGCGAGCGCTGAAGGGAATAGTGTTGCTTCCCAAGGAGCAATTCTTTGAAACACTGCCCTGTACAAGCTGCTCAGTTAGAAGAGTACAGCTGATTAAATTTAGTGGTTTGGTTTTTAGAGACTGAGTGTCTTAAAATATAGTTTTGTTTTGATCTACTGCTGGCAATATGTCTGTGAAGGAAGTATGCCTTATACTTTTTAAGTAATTATAAAGGAAAAAGCTTTACTAAATCAATTTATTTTTTTTCTTGTTTTCTCCTTTGGGGGCAGTTCAGCAAACAGATTGTCACTTACCCATTAAGTCTTATTTGTGCAGCTCTTGCTTGTTCAGCACTTTCGATCCTCCATTTCGTAATGTAGCATAAAAAAGCTACACAAATGCAAGTGATACTTGGTGCATAAAATAGATAACAACAGAGTTATTTGCTATGTGGAAGAACAAACTGCTGTATGGTGGCGAGCCTGACATTCTTTTTTTCTGTTCTAAGTGAAACCCATAGAAGTGACCAAATATTAGTTTTGAGATGAACTAATTTTGAAATAAAAGAATTAAGACAGAAGAGATTTAAAGAATTCTAGTAAGTGTTAGAATATATTCTAGTAAATGTTAGAATATTCTAATAAGCCCTCTTGAGAGCTGTTTGGGTATTGGCTGATGGAGTTCAGTAGAAACAGTAACTTTTACCATCTAAATTATTCAAGCTAAACACATTGCAATGATGAAAGTTCTGCAAAAACCACCAGGATATGCATAAATATTTTGAGATGCTGCAAAATAATAAAAAAAAAGACCTTAGAACATTTTTTTGTTTAAATGCTTTCAGTAGTTGTACTTTAAAAGTATGAGCTCAAAGAAATGGGTAAGAAGTATTGGATCCTGGCTACTTTGCTTCATTCTGGTTGCAAAACCAGCTTACCCTTTCCCTTGTGAGCCTGCACGGTGATGTCTTCCAGAACAGTTAGCTCTCCCTACTGATTGATCAGACCTTTGATACTCTGGGTAGGTGATGACATATTCATGGAGCAATCTTAAAGACACTCTAACTTAACGTTTTTCATTTTCCGAACTACTTAGGGACCAGGTAGCATCATTTCCATTTTCCTCCCGTTATCTCGGTTAGGTCAGCCTAACCAGAAGATCCAAATGAATGAACAAAATTAAAGAGAACGTTATTTAATGCCATGTAAGGGACTCTTGGGGACTTTCTTGGAACTGTAAATATACTTTCAGCTGTATGACAATATTTTTTGTTTGCTTCATTTTGTAAAAACGTTAGTATTTTATTCAAATCCAGTTTCAATATTAAGAAGTCATATGAGTTGCTTTGGCTGTAAAAGTAATGAAAATCACATGTTAAATTTTACATGAAGTGCGGGTTATACACAAATAGAATATAAATTTCTTAGACCACAGGGAAACTGGTGTGAAAAACATCAGGCAGTAATAGAAGCTCCCAGTGTCCATGATAGGAAGCTCAGGCAAACACTTCTACAGTATAATTTCAGTCATCATTAAATTGAAGGGTCTTGTGGAGCTCAGCATCTTGGTCTCTTTGACCTTAATGTTTTATCACTTTAAAATACAAAAATCTAAGTAGTCTTTCCCTCAGTGAATCTCTAGAAGGAAGGCCTTTTAAAGTCCTCTTGGGAAAATAAATACTGCACTAGACTATGTTAATGTGCAGAGTAAACTGTACATCCTAATGTGAAGTTGAGGCTTGCTGCTGTGAAAATAATTGATTTCTGTCTCCCAGATGAAGATGATGAATGCTGCAAGCCGCGCGGTGCTAGCTAACACATTGGAACTAGATGGAACGCAGGAAAGAACTATTTATTCAAACATCTGAAAATGCGCTGGGCACTTCTTTGATGACATTTTCTGTTATCTGGAGCTTGCTTGGAAACGAGAGGAGTTTAGCATGGGAGTTTTACGCATTTTGTGCTGCAAGGGCCTGAACAACTAACACATTAGTTCCCACTGCTGCAAAAATCAACTGACACTAAAGCTAGGCTTTTGCTCACGTTGGGAGATATATTCGGTATACTCTTGAAAACAGAAACATCAGATGTGCAGGGGTTGATTCCAGGTGCCCAAGCACATCTGTTTAGTACAATTTTGGATGTATTTGTTGCATCTGGTCTCTGCCTGCCTCTCTAGAGAATGCAGGTTATATGTTGTATTGACTGATCATGTGTGGATAGGGTGTCTGAAACGACTCTGTGTTGAGGCTTTGGTGTAGCTTGCTTAGAACCGTTTTCTATTTCAATGATTTTAAACTTCAGCTCTTCCTATGGTTAACAGAGATGTTAAGAGGTGTAACCAGCAGTTATCTGCCTAGCTCCTGTGTAAAGCTAATGGGGTTAAGACCTTACTTTACCTCTATTTCTCCATATTTACTTCTGCGCCTTTGTAGTACACTGCATTGAGTGTCTAAAAAGAAACAGATGACAATTTTCCTGACTAGCAGTACGTTTTTTTCCTCTTGGCCTTTCTTCCAGTCTCCTGATATTTTGGGTGTAACCCTTTGGATGCATTCCTGTTGATACTTGTAGAATGGCCAAATCGATGACCTACATATGCCTGTACCCAGAAGATTTTCTACCTATGTCATTTCCGATACATCAGTAGTCTAGCACTCTTGTTTGCTGTCTTTTTTGCATTATTATTATAGCTTGTTTTGGCAAAGAGTTCGATCTGTTTTGCTGGGAAGAGTTAAGGCCAATAACAGAGCAACACATCTTGAACCATGTCCTTCTTGACATGGCTAATCAGTAATTAGCAGAACATCAATAATTTTTTTTATCTTGGGGCACTACTTTGAGCTTGCAAATTCAGTAGCTATGATATGTGATATCTATATGTGATATATATAGAGTTGGTGTTTTAAAGACGTCTTCACGTGGTCATTTTATTTAATTTATTTAATATGTGAATTTTTATGTATTCTTTATATATAACTTATTCCTTATCTGTTTTTTATTGTTTTTCTTATTTTACACTGAAACCCACTATTAATAATTAGAAACGTGCTAATTATCTATTTGTTTTCTTTCTGAGATTGATTGCTTCCCTTTGTGAATGAGTTCATCTAAGAGTTGCATCCTGTATACCGCAGGAGAATGTACATGTAGGAAACTATGTTTCAATAGTCATTCAGAGATGAATATCTGACATAATCAATAAGAATAATTTAATATCTTTGAACTGCATCATGGAAAGGCTGTTGTTACATGTTAGACTTCCTATGGAATGAAAAAAAGTTGTTAGCAAGTTCACGAAAAGATACCATTAACTGATAAGGAGGTTTAGTTCTAGAAGCTAGGTATTATAATTTCCCTCTTATTCCATCATTTTTTCAAAAGACTCAAAGCTTCTCTTTAATGAGACTTGTAAGATATCTCAGTAATCACTGCAAGCCAATTGATTGCTATAAAAATGCAAAAAGCCTATCATTATTGAAATTGTTGGTACAAATCCTGAATTAAATTTAGTTAAAATGCATTAAACTTTACATATTAACGTAGATTGGGAAAAAAAAATATCCATTTTTTCAAAACATAAAGTTTTTACATGTTGATCCATAGTACTGCTTTCAAGTACCCCCGGATCTCTTTCAGATTAATTAGTATTTCTTAATTTGTCTTCCACAGCAATATGCTATACTTTGGAGTTGTCTATGTCTGCTTCTATACACACATGTGAGGAGATGTATATATGTATATTGCATACAAAAATTCAGCCTTTATTAATACCTCTGTAGTGGAGAGCAGAAAATATTTTGCAAAAGATTTGCAAATGATACTTTGCATCTGTGGCTCATTTTTAGGCCAAGGGAGGACTTTCTGAGCCATACTGCACTACAGGCAATTTTATCCTTTTAGCTGAAAACAGTTCCTGATAAAAGTTTTGAAACCGACTGTTTGGAGAACAGTGACATGTCCATGCGGTCACGGAGCAGGCATATATAGGTTTGGTTTTGGAATTGCAGTGATAACTGTTTGTTTGGCTTAAGTATTTTCTTCTCATACCACCCTCAAGTGCCATGGTTCTTCCAAACAAGGAGGCATAAATTGAATAGGTCCAAGTAAAACTCTCACAACCAAGCGCAACTTCCTTCCTTCTCACTGTTCAAGGAGAGTGCTGTTTATTTGATTAAAATGTTCAATTACACTAATTCTTTTTCCAAGCAGGCGAAAGTTTTGACCATCTGTTTAGATATAGTCGTTGAAATGAATATCGTCTTTCTGAAATTATTCCAGTGTATTTTAAAGATTAAAGACAGCTTTGTACGTCTCTGCAGGTGCTTTACCACTAACTGAAAAGCAAGGGGGAAAGTTGTGCTGTGGGTTAAATATTAAACGTTAATGTAGCTTGCATAGGAAAGTCACAAGGATTGCCCAGAGTAGTCTCTCTTTCTAATTATGCCAAGCATGTACTTGAAAAGCTCTATGTCATGATTTTTTTTCCTCTCTTTCTGTATAATATTTGTAAAGGGCAAGTATTAGCATTTTAAACAGTCAGCTAATTTGGCTTCCTGCACAGAAGAAAAATTAGGACAGTGACTGATGGCTAAGAGTTCTGATTATTGCACTATTCCTTGCGCTCATTAATTTTACTATATACAGTGGCTGACATTGCAGCTGGCAATTTTTAAGAATTTTTAAGAGTAACCTGAGACAAATGTTGTACACTGTATTCTCCAAGCTTTCTCATGTAGTCCTTGGTTTGGCTCAGAGGTGGATATACCAGCTCTCCTCTTCTGTAATATCACTACATCTCTCCACCTAAACAGGTCAAGACAGAGAGGTGTTTAGATTATGGGTTTATGAGGATTGTATCTAAAGCTGCGTTATATGTAGTGGTTAATTCAGTAACTGACACTGTTCCCTCCCATGTATAGTTGCAAGTCATTGTAAGATGCTTTGTGCTAATTTATT